AGAACCGCGAGATTGGAAATTTTCTGTTCCTCTATCAAACAGCCTATCGTCAAATTTTAAGGTACTAAAAAAAAGTTGTGAAAACCTTTACAAAAGGATGAAAATACATAGTTTTAGGACATTTTTTTTCTCGTGCTCTTTACAGGAGTGATGCACTGACAACAGATTCGGGTGGGAAAACTCAACGGAGCATCGCCCTGGGCGTGAAAAATTAGTGGAAGCTTGGGTTTGAAAAGAAAATACCGGCAATGAGTAAGTTTTAAAATGCATCTCTTCGTTTTTTTCGAAAGCTGGCTTTATGAAACATCGCTAAAATATCCTCGGAATCTGACGTTTCCTCGGAAACTTTGAACATAGAAGCGCTAAGAAATTTCTTATCCCACGCACCTTAAATCTTCTTGAATGCTTGCTCGACGAAGTCAATTACCACCTGGTATTCTCAACATTCCTGACTGGTTCACCTTTTTCGAGTCGGGCATTTGTCAACTATGCATGAATGCACGCAACGCGGGAGCATTGCGCCTCGAAATTTCGATGCAATTACAAGTTCAGGGTTGCCAGATCTTTACGAAAAAGGACACGCGATAGAAAATATAAAATAAAATTGAAATAACTACTTGGAATCAGAGTTAAATAGAAGGTAGACGGTGCGATTAAATTTCATTGCGATTGTTAACGTCATGGTATTGACATTTCATAAAAAGCTAAGTTGATTTTGGAAAGATTAAATCAGAATCAACCTAATTACAATTCATGTTTTCTAATTTCCTCCCTTGTCTACATCTTTGACAGAAAGCCGGGAAACATGCTGCCTTGAAACTATTTATCCACTTCACTTAGATTATGAAGAAAAAGCTCGATATTTTAAGCTGGAAAGTTAAATACTTTACTGTTAAAAAAATTAAGAACGATAATAAATAATTTAATTGGATGGGCGAATTTCGGTAGAACCTTAAAAAATATCTGGAATTCAAGTACGGGAATGGATGAACCAAGAAAACATCGGTCTTGGACCAAGTTCATCCGATAAATAATTATGACAAGGTTACTATAATTTGACTACATTTTGCAATGACGAACAACGATTTCTGGCTCAGCTTAGGAACAACAGTTCTGCCAGTTATATCACTATGCAAATAGGTGATTTCGTGTCGGAGCCGACGGAATTAAAGTTCAAGATTGAAAAATCTATTGAAATTCGCTTGATAGGCTTGGAAAGATCTCAACAAGTCGCCCCCATTTTATCTTGGGTATCCAGCTTTTGATACAACGAAGAACCCCTCACGATCCAGTGCGTAAAACCATCGCCAAGGCTCTGCCACTACGTGACGTTGGCTATGTATGCACGCAGGCTGAGAACGTAGCACCTCTCCAAAAACAATGCTTAAAACGTGCATAAGTATTTCCGGATAAGCGTACTAACTCTCCTTGCCTCCCCCTCGAAAGACGCACAATGGGGCTAGAAGATCGAACACTTTAAAAACTTATACTTTCGTTAACAAAAAATGTAAAGGTTTGATTCATCGGTTGTCTCGGAATTTTGTTTTTACTGACCACGATTTAATATTTTTAAGATGACGAAATGAACATTAATTTTTTTCAGTTTAAGTATAAAATTTCAAATCCAACCTCTCCTGTTGGCTGTTCCGCCGTGCTAGGGTAAACGCCGTATAGGTATTCTAGTGTTGCCAAATTCCCTCTCGGAACGGATCTATTTTTAAAGAAAGTTATGAGTATTTTCCCTTGAAATTTTCAGATCTTTTTGATCAAATTTCGAACAAAATCCTCCGAAAAAGCGGAGGAAGGCTATTCACAAATTTTCCTGGAAAATGTGTTGTTTTTTCGGAGAAAACCTGACAACGCCTGATGGCTCATACGGTGTTCTTCCTTCGCACGGCAGTATTACCATTGTGCGGCGTCAGCGAGGGTCCGCAGGAATATTTAGAATGCGTGTTAGGTATAAACTTTGATTAGAGGAGGATTTGAAGCGAAAGAAGGTGCTTCCGGTAATAGTTAAGTGGGACTGCGTTTTTTTAGTGGTGGGTGAGGGGGAGGGGGTGAAATAATTATTTCCTCGACGACCGACTGCCGCCCTTCCGCGCCTATCTACACTATCAGCCGAATGCCCAGTGGACTGCGGCAGGGTTTGCTAACGGGGAGACTTCATGCTTGGCAGCGTACGAATAGACACGGTGAAATAGTGACTCACTGAACTCCAGTACATTCATGCGATATGTTAAATGGTTCGCTATTTAAAGCAGAAAAAAAATGTGCTATTTGTCGACGTGTAGCCAGGATAAAATATGAGTGATCCCATTCAAAGCAACCATGTTTTTGCTAATTATACATAGGTATTTAGTTGATAATTCATCAGATAATTTCATACTAATTGCACTTAAAATTTAAGCGGAAGGGGGGGGGGGAACAGTGAAGAAGGTGGCCCGATCTGCACGTAAGAAGGTGGTAAAATGGTGTTTTTCCCACAAAATGTGGACCCAGCGCTATTTTACCACCTTAAAGAAAGTTTCAGTAAACAAAGAACTCTACGCTTTTAGTAATTTTTTGGTGGTTGTGTTGGTGCGTGTAAATAGTTGAAGCAAGTTTTCGACCCAGGGACGATTCTCATAATTTTGATTTTTTTTTTTTAATTCCGGCGAAAAGTTGTATTTTGTTTACGGCTTCATGTTTCCTGCTATGATTTTGACCTGAGAAAGGTCAAAAAAATTAACACTGTACTAAGTCATCCCGCCCTGCCAAATGCACCTGTAAAAAACGAGCATTGATTGCCGAAACAACACTAAAGAATGATACACTCCGAATGCAGAAATAGCGCGGGGGAAGTGGACGTATTTATGCCAAAAGGAACTATGTGCATAGGGTTTTCGTGAGACATAGTTCTTTTTAGCATAAATACGTCCAAATGTCAGCTACATCGAATATCAATCCAACATGAAGTGATCAGCGCTCTCAGCAGGATACCACTAAATTAACTCCTACGTCGTGAAGAGGTATGCCCGGAAAATTGAAGGCGATATTTTTTACGTGAATCGGTAGGGTCAATCGCGTTATATAAATAGATTTTAGGACAACAACGCAAAAAAAAATAGCTTGCGGAGAGAAACTGATTGCAGGTCAAACCAAAAAGCATAAATTCTTCGATGAGTTAAGGAAAATAACTGACGCACATACAAACAGATTTCGTGAAATCGTTATATTAATGTGGCAGGTAGTCAGCAATCGTCGGTAATTTGCAAACTTCCTACGCGTAAACACGTCGGATTACAACTGTTCGCAGCGACAGAGTAAAGGTTTCATTGATAAAGAAATTCAAGACTCGGACCTCCGCTCGGGGCGCCTTCAAATCCAGCGATACTCTCCGCTTTGCCTAGGAGTTAGTTTAGTTGCTTAACCTAACCAAACCCAAGTAAGGTCACTTATGTCAGTACACGCACTAGCGAGTGTGCTACCATGCATTCAAGAATAAGAAAAAAAGTCTTGTTTGATTTCAAAGCATACTAATCACAACCAAGTTTCTTTATTTTTAAATTTTTTTAGATTTGTTCACTCAAAACGATAAGATTGCAATTTGCCGGTAAATGCTAAAATTGCCGGCGACATTTATGAAGAAGAGAGGCAACACAGCGAGGTCGAATGCGGAAATAAATTTTCGATGAAGTCTCCTACAGCCAAAACTGACAAGTCATGTCAATCAGAATTGAAAAAAGAAGTAAAAAAAAAAACAGCTTTGCGTTGACGGATTATAGGCGTAGATAGCGAGCACAGGGGTTACAATCGGACGGAAAAAAAATACGCTGTATACGAGCACCATTCATCGCCGGCGTGACAAGTAATAAAGCAAATGAATTAGTGCAGAAAAACAAGGTTCATAAATAATATATACGAGTCTGATGGTAACCGGCAAAAAAGAGGAGGGAAAAATGTACTCGGGAAATTGAGAATGGTCGGAATATCGACGCTGTGATTGTTTTGCGGGGCTCGCTGAAAAGTTACGACTGGCTCGGGGTGGGTTCCCCGAATTCGAAAATAACATCACGCCAGTATAAATATTAAATTAACAGTAAATTAACCCCTTTTTCGCTCCTCTTTTTTGTTCGGCTGTTATTTCGTTGGATAAATAACTCGCTACGCTTCAAAGAATCGGCAAAGGTCAATCACATTTCGTTAATTTCTCTCTCGTTTTCCGTGCCGATTCTCTCATAGACTCTCGATTCCAAATGGAAATAAAAGGCGGAAAAACATCAGGACCACTCAATGATTTTTTTTGTTGATGATTACTAATTGATTAGTTTCATCCATGTGATGATCCTTTGTATGCAAGATCTTTTGGTGTTCGAGTTTTTATCCAACGCTCATTTTGTATCCGTCCAGATTAAAAATTGGAGTTTAGAGAAATTATTAATTTAAATTGAAAAATCTCTAGATGTTTAGTAAATTAGTGCTTGGGAGAATTCGAATAAATCTCAGCTCGCTAGTCCACAAATAAGTATAATTTGAGCACTTCAACAAGACTAATGGAGAAGTATAATTAAACTATTAAAAAAAAAAATTAAACGTCATGCGGCGGGCTTTTCCACACATCTGTTGTGATTTCAAGAAGTAAGAAAAGTAAATGTAAGATCAATTCAAACTGTCATGAGCAGATTTTAGAAAATAAATCATCAATGATATAATAAACTGTTACATTACGTGCGTACATTTGGGGACGTAAAAATCTCTTAAAATACAAATTCATGTATAATCTTAATAAGAGGTATTGTGATTCCTCAAGTTTTTTTTTTTTTTTTTAACTTTTTCCTTGGTGTTTTCTGATAGGATTGAAGGCACATCCTAATTCATGTCTGCACAAAAAAACAATTAATTCCAAAAAGAGTGTTCACATCAACAGTCAAGATATGCAACATGTGTGTGTTCACGCACAAGTAGAAACGTGGAAATGCCCGAATCATGACGTGAACGTCTGCAAAAATTGCATAAATTACCTTTTCCGCGCAAGGTCATCCATACATTCCAAAAAAAGCGTCGGAATTCCAGGCGATAGAGGCGGGACAATCCTTAGAAAATCGGCGAAAGCACTGTCATTAACTAAAACCACTCAGAACGAAACGGAGACATGCCCATCAAAAATCTCCCGATACGCACGGTAAAATCATTTTCCGAACATTTGTTTACAAAACGAAACAAAATAAAAGGGGCTCAAAAGAAAATCATTTGACGGAGATCGTGGGTCACCATGAAAATACAGAAACACTTGTTCCTGAGAACTGTCGTGAAACATTAAACAAGGTAATCGGGCGAAAAAAAAAGAAAAAAAAATCACAATTGCACTCAGCCCGGGCTACGATGAGTCAAAGACGGAAAAAAACTGAAAGGAGCATTTCTAAATTACAATTTTAAAAAGTAAAGCAAGATTACACATTCACATTCAAAACAATCAGCTCGTCTTCAATGTAAAAAAAAAAACAAACAAACAAACAAACAAAAAAGTCCAGAACAGTTTAAAGGAAAATTCGGTCTCAAAAAGTGACGCGACACCAAACCACGGGGAAAATCGGCACAGATCCAAAAACACGATTCCGAGAAATCCGAAAATTTTCGAGATCCGCTCAGAGCGATTTCCGATCGCCGCGCGCGGCACAGGACACGCGCATCCACATGACGCCGGGGCCGATTCGAGAGCCGTACTGAAGCAACTCCCAAGTCGAGACCCGCGAGGTGGTAGACAAAGGTTTGGGGTGCTGGTTTGAATTGAAGGGACGCGCGCCGGGCCCCGCGNGGGGGGGGGGGGGGGGGGGGGGGGTCGTCGCCGTCGGAGAGCGCGCTCTGGCGTGAATGCGCCGCACCGAAAACGGCCGTTACGGCTGGCTACGGCCAGCGCCGCCGGTGTGGTGGACCTTCCTTCCACCTGAACCTGAGGGCGAGAGGTAGTTTCATAGGTTTCGTCTGGCTCAGAGATTGGCGGGTCGTCTCGCGTATGCGGGTCCAATCACGAGAGGGGAGTTGCGTCACTGCAAGGTCGCGGGTAGGGTCAACGGGCGAAATCCGAAAAATATGCACTGAAAAAAAAATCTCGGTGTATTTACAAAGAAAAGGGTAAAATTACCAAGGATTCAGGGTTCTATTTGATCCCAGTTTCCTCTTAATAAAATTACCATTTATGGAATTGGTAATTTTACCGAGAAATCTCAGCAAAATTATTGTACTTTCCCGGTAATTTTACTGGACCTTGGTAAAAACGCCAATATTTTTTATCGACTGTGGTAGAATTACCGAGATAAAATGGCAAAGTTACCGGGAATTGATTACCAATAAAAGTGGTATTCTTACCTGAAAAAAACAGTAAAAATACCGGTTTTTAGGTAAGTTTACCAGTCTGTCTTGGTAAAATTACCAATAATTGGTAGAAACAGTGAGATGATAAAGGTACCAACGGCCCTTGGTAAAAACGCCCAGAATTTTTTTTCAGTGTGCACCGTGAGTTTTTTGCTGTTAAAATGACGTTTTCTCATTAACACAGGCACAAGAAACTCGGTAAAACCGCACTGTCTAGATGGTACGATTGATACGAATCATAGTTCGTCGCCCATCTGTCAGCGTTAGGGTGCAGGTACCTCGGTTTCAGCATGAGCCCCAAAAAGCATGAATTTATTGTAGAACAGGGCTCACATAGAAATTGATTAACGCCCTTATCAAATTTCAAGATAAAACATTCATGACTCTCCTCAAAAATAAACATTCCATTCACTGGGAAAAAAACACATTGGATCTAGAGTCCAGACTCCTAAAATCATCGACAGGAAAAAGTACTCTTGATTCAATCAGAATCTAGCTTAAATCAAGAACCAAGTCTCTTAATTTAAGCGGATTTCGTTTTGATTCAAGCAAAAATCCAATTGAATCAAGAGTATTTTTTCTTGTCGATGTTTTCAAGAGTCTGGACTCTAGATCAAATGTGTTATTTTTTCCAGTGTTGGAGAAAATTTGCCTACTCTCAAATGTTCATACGGCATTTTTCCGTAACCCAGCGATACAATTCGGATGAAAACACGCGGAATGATGGATACCAGCTCCACGATTGCGCAATGCGTTTATTCGTTCAATCAACTCGACGAAGATCATCAACACGACCCAAATTTCGTGAATCATCTGAGGCGTCAAATTACCGCACCAAAAAAGAAAGAGGAGAGATGCATCTCAAACTCTGATCTCTTCCAACGCACTGAATAAAAAACAAGTGATCGAAACGGAGATCGAGTTCCCTCTCTCTCAATTTCATTGATCTTCCATGCCCCGGATTCGGGGAAAGATGGATGATGGCATAATTACATGACATACCTCGATTTCTTAGGATTTACGTTCGGAAAAACGCATAGCGTTCGATGGAATAATGTTATTTACATTTCGGCTTTAACGCCTCATCATAAGAGGAAACTCCATTACCAAGTTTTACACCGAAACATAGAGAGCGATGACCCTTGCTTCACTGCGTCGATATAGTATGCTCTTAACAGCCAACTGGTAAGAATTATCTTGCACGTGACTGGTTTTTCAAGAAATAAAAGAGAAAATTGGAAAAATACATAACGTGCCATATCCTCCTGATCATTCAACCATTTAAATTTAGAAACAATGATGAACATATTGAACATTGGTGCCTCCAGATCAATGGCGTTTTCTGCACGGAGAAAAGTTAATTTCCCAAAGAAATTTTGAAATGAATTATAATTAACGATCATCATCAACGCATCATGATATTCTGTACAAACTTTTAATTTCCATTTTTCAATGATCTCCTATGTGTGGCGATGGTGGTATCGTTATCATAGACACTCTAATTTAGTGGACTGCAATTCGAAACCTATTTCGCCTTCATTTGAGCGGGTAGGCAAAATGCGCTCCCACGAGTTAAAATAGTTGTATCCCTCCGCCTTGCGCACAAATTAGGTGGATTGCATTCTTCCGAGAGGTGCGGTCATTCTTACAATGGACCACTAGACAAGGTACGAATTTAAGCATTTTGATTTTAACCAGAATTTCATGTAAAACATGATTCGCGCAACGAAAATTACTGAAACCAAATCCTAACGGAGATATCAATATTTTTATTTCACATTGGTTACGAGGAATTTGAACTGCCCGCTCACAAGGAACTCAAAGCTCTACGTGAGTCAAATCGCGCACTGCAACGGTTTCAGCAAGCTTCTCAATCAAGCAGTGTTCATTTCCCACATGTGTTTTTCAAACTAGGTATAAGTAATTTGATATAGCTGAGTCAAAGCGTCAAGGTTGAGGTTACCAGATTTTTTAATCGCAGATGCGTTCATGATAACGTTTAGCGCGCGATGTGAATCACGTAGAGCATTGAGTTTTCATGAGCGGGTGGTTTCAATTCACGCACCAAGAATCATTGAATATCTTCGGAAGGAGTTGATTTCGGTAATTTTCGTTGTGCGCATCGTATTTTACGTGAAATTTTAGTGAAGAAACGTGTATCAGGAGGCTGAAATTCGTACCTTGTCTAGTGGTCCATTAGAGCGTGGAAAGTTATTAGTCACTTTTTTTGTCATTGTTTTAAATTCATATGTATAGTTGCAATTGAAAACAATTTTTGTTATTTGTTCTTTTTTTTAAAAAAAAAAAAATTGTTTTGTTTATGGTGGACTTAGTTAATAGTGCGTCCATTTATTTTAAGCCATTCAAACATAATTGAAGTGCTGGTTGCAAGGAGGGTATTTCTCGGCTGCGATGCTTGAGAATCTTCCTCACTAATTTGTATTTTGGAGTGTATGGCAGGGGCGAGACATGAATGATCCAATATCGATATTTTCTCTGTTGAACCTGAGGTAAAAGATCGATTATAACGGTGTTTGTTGCGGACACCCTGTTTATCAATCCTTTTCCAAAGGTTTAAATACCAGATCAATCGATATTTCGCAAAGCACGCCCCACCACTACTGGTGTATTCGTATTTTGAAGTTTGCTGAGTAGTTTGGGTAGAAATTAGCACCGGCATTAAAATCGCCAAGTTGAGTATATAACCTACTTTTAGCAAGGCGAGGTTTGTAGACGACACAAAGCGCGAATCCACGCGAAGGCAATTATTGCTGCACGGAGGGTGTTTTCGAACTACCTCAAGAATTGAAGGAAAAATAGCATTCTGGATTACTTTCATACCTCCTCCGTGTCAATATTGCTTCCTCTAGGAACGCCTCGTCACTGAACTGTAACAGTGGTAGTAGTATTTAACTTATGAAAGCGATCTTTGCAAATTCAGGCGTAGAGAAATAATGACCCCTGCCTCTGATAGACATTAATTTTACTTTCATTTCGCACGAATGATCCATCATAAATAATGACTGATTAAACAGGGTGGAAACCGAAGTCATTTCGAGCAAAGTAATTGTGGACGGATGCAACCGAAGAAAAGTTCGTGACTGGAGAAGCATGACGCCATAAAAGCGAGTGGAGTCGAACAAAAGCGGACCCGTACGCCACCGCCGCCGCCGCAACGGCAAACACGAAAAATTCGACCAAAATCAATTATTAAACGGTACCAGCATACCGACACAACGACACTCAGATGTATTATTAATTACAACAAAGCACAGAGAGATACACGAGGTTGCCAACGGACCAAGAAAAAGGAACTATTGTTTCTGATGTGGAAAGTAAATCGAGTATGACGAGTAAGACATAAACCGCTGGAAAAAATAAAAAAAATTGTGTGATTTTTTTTATTTTTCTTCTAACTCATGTAAAAATTATAAAAATTGTGAACAAAAATTTTTTGGGGGCATTCCGGTGAAAGAGTAGATTGTTTGAGTCTATGCTTTTAAAACAAGCGTCAAAAACAAGAAAGGAAAAGAGAAAAATCATTTAAAGTGTACGCGAAATTATAATTTTGCCTCCCGCCCACCTCGCAAAATCTGACAGAATTTTGTCTACGAAAGATTAAATTGGATCTCTGGTGAAGAGCTTTGGTGGCAATTATTTAATAAATAAAATATAAAATACCATTTGAAAAATAAGCGTTTGTACTTTTAATCATACACTGAAAAAAAGTCAAAATCTCAACTATACTTCCAGTTGATTTTAGTGCCATCCTCTAGAGAAGTGAAGGCACCAGCCAGCGGTATAGTTAATCCAACCACTCTTAAGCGGACTGAAAGGGCACCAGCTAGAGGTATGGTTGACCTAACCACACTTTCAGCTGACTTGACCAATGACCATACCTTTGGCTTGTGCAACTACTCTAACGTCTGTCGCCAAAATTAGCTAAAAGAATAGTAGGGATTGGCATACTTTTTTCCGTGGACTTAACAAAAAACAAACGAGGTATTCTCTTTTCTTGGAAGGTGCTCAACCTTGATCTAGGAATTCTTGAAAAACTGGGAAGATAATCGAACCCTACACAGCTGTGCTAAGGAAGAACGCCGTATGAACCATCAGGCGTCGCCAAATTTTCTTCGATAAAACACGAATTCCCTGGTAAACTTATGTATATTTTTCTTCCAATTTTTTAGAGAATATTCTTTGTATTTTCATCTAAAGTTCCTGAAAATTTCAAGGAAAAATATTCATAATTTTTCTCATAAATAAACATTTTATCAAAGGAAATTTGGCAACTCTCAAATGCTCATACGGCGGGTTTCCTCAGCACGGCAGTACAGCAGGATTAGTTCTTGTGTGA